TGAGACGGAGTTTCGCTCTTGTTACCCAGGCTGGAGTGCAATGGCGCGATCTCGGCTCACCGCAACCTCGCCTCCTGGGTTCAGGCAATTCTCCTGCCTCAGCCTCCTGAGTAGCTGGGATTACAGGCACGCACCACCATGCCCAGCTCATTTTTTGTATTTTTAGTAGAGACGGGGTTTCACCATGTTGACCAGGATGGTCTCGATCTCTTGACCTCGTGATCCACCCGCCTCGGCCTCCCACAGTGCTGGGATTACAGGCTTGAGCCACCGCGCCCGGCCTACTAATTTCAATTTCAAATACTAGCACTGAATGATGTCATTCTAATATACTAATTTTATGCTTAAGTAGTTTTATCCATAGTTTTGGTCACTAAAATTGTTCAAGTAGAGCAATATCAAAAAATTATAAAAATTAGACTTCACTGACTCTGTCTTTTAAAACCCCCCAATTAAAGTTTATTTACTGTAATTAAACACAAATATATGACTTAGGAACTAAAGAGACAGACTGTTATTTTAAATACATAGTTAGCTACATGACTTGGGAGCTGACAACACGTAGTTAGCTATATGACTTGGGAGCTGATTATCTGGTTTCTAGATTATCAAGTCCCTTATATCTGACTTCAGATTAATTAATCTGGAAAAAAGAAAAGATAGGAAAAAGAAACAGGGAAAATCTTAGAAATCATTAGCTCCTCTTACAAAAGGTTAGGTCAAAGATTTTAAGAAAGATAAAACTGACAGATATAACACAGACTTCACTAAAAATTACCAAAGACAGTTGCACACCGATCATAGATTTTTCAACTATACATAGAACCATAACATTTTGTTGAAATAATACTGTAGTATACATCTATATTCTTATATGTAAAGGCCAGAAACTGTGTCTGGCTGGACCTATTTACATCTGTTAAAGATGAAAGCAGTAGATCTTCTTTCTAGGAAGCTGGAAAGGGTATGTAAGGTTATATATTTACATACTTACCCATTTATTTTATGAAGACTAACTCTTAGAAGACTACTCAAGCAGTTACTTAGGTCAAGCTGGTAATTGATTAGGAAGTAAGCACACGCATTTAAGCCAGAGAAAGTTGATCCTATCAATTTGAGTACTTTACTATGAATACATTATTTTCTATGAAAATATCTTATGTATCTTAGCTAAGTCACTTATTTACAAAACATTTTATATTTGTCACTTAGGCACAGCCTAAGTCATCTTTACCTTTTATAACTGTAAAGTCTGCAGCTTGCTGTGGCTCCCTCCCATGGAGTTACAAGCAAAGACTATATTTTATGATATAATCACCTATGTATCACTCTTCTAGGCAGTAGGAACATATAAGATTACTTCTATAGACACAGAAAATTTCTGAATCAAAAGGAATACAAAATCTTACTACATTATAACAAGGTCAAGGTAAAGGGATTTGTTCTATAGCAGCGTTTCACATTCTGCAGTTCATGAAACTCTCATGTTTCATGAATTAACATAAAAATAAACATAAAAACCCTGAATTATACTAGTTTCTAAAATACAAAACATATATGAAAAAACTCTTAATACATGTATATGTTACTATATAACAATTTGCTTTTAAGAAATGGTGTGCCATGAATGCCAGAAATCAGAAAAGGTTATCACCTGATGTTGTAATGCTTATCTGACCTGTATATTTAACATTTCTTACTGTATTTTTAACATTTACCAACAAATCATGTTATTATTAGTTATCTAATGATTACCAGTAAGCATTTACATTTTATCAACTTGTACTATTATTCAATTTGTATTGCATATTAAACTAGTTAATAAAAATTTGGTAATTTCTAATAATAATTAATTTGTGAAACTATTTCCCTGCTATACATTAAGGATACATTTAATATTTTTTTCTATTTTATTAATACTTTATTTTCTAAAATGCTTCCATGGTTAAAATAGTTCTGGAAACTGTTCTATTATGTATAAAGACAATGACTCCTTTCTCCATTTTTATTTGGCTTGTTGTGGTGTTTTTCTAGTTGTATTAGTTTTTCTTTAAAAAGCAGAGAAAGATGGTCCGATACATGCCATGGGCAAGAGTCATATTTTTCTCCACCCATTTAATGCAAGATATAAAGAAGCTGTCCCAGATTATATCTCTTACAGAATTTTCTGTCAAAAATTCTTACTCTGTCTTATGATAAACAGATTAAGATTGTGGCCTACCATTAAGTGTAGAAGTAATGTGCTTCTAAGGGATGACTAAACATTTAAACAAAAAATTTTAAGAGGGCCATGAGATCAGATATTAGATATACAGTTATTTAACTAGTTCTGTTCAAGAATATTTTGAGGTTTTCTGTATAGTATGCCAGGTTATAGGTTGCTCTGGCATTATTTCTTGAATACATTTTTATATCCATGCTGGATTAAGGCACTGTATGCTGGATTACATAAAGTTAACAGCAATCATATAGAACAAAGGAAAAGAATTAAGAAGTTTTAATAACCCACTTACATGTTATATGCCTTACTTTACCACTTAGTTTGTCAGAAAGGTGTAGGTCCTATGTAAACATCTGTAAGCTTCTCTGAATAGTTCTGTAATCTAGACATCCAGGCAATAAAAAAAGGGAGGGTTAATCCTGTTTATGGTATATAATATATATATGGTATATATAGTATATATGGTATATAGTGTTCTACCTAAACACAAGGGCAACTCTGATAATTACAACTTAGATAATTTCTCACTTTCTCCATCTCAACTGCCACAAGTTATACTACTCATGGCTTATTGTAGAACTGCTCTTCAGAAGGTGCCATTCCACTTTGTGATTCATGCAAAACTTGAGTGAAAACTGCAAACCATCAGTCAAATGTGGAACTATCATTCACAATAAATTATATTAAAAGAATCTAAACATGGGACTAGACTCATTCCTGCTGAAAGGGTAGATGAAACACAAAATGTTTTATATCATCCCAGACTCTTTCATGAACACTTAAGATAAAGATAAGGTTTCTAGTGAGCTTCAAGCTCTATTTTCTTTTCTAACCATCTTTGCTTAGTTTTTAAGTATTTCACACTACAGTGCACTCTTGTTCAACCAAGAAGAACTTTCTGCATTCTGCGTGCAGCAACACTAGCTTCATCTTCTGAGTCAGATTCACTTTGGGATGTGGAGCTGTGAGAGGCAGAACTGCAAGGGGAAGAGCATTCTGGCGAACATAAGTAGTGCATCAGTGGGAGGCGATACTTCCCACAGAAGTCCACAAATTTAATTTGTCTGACACAGCAGTCAAAGTAGACTCCTAGAAAGAAGAAGGAATACAAAGTAATCATTACAAAGCAAGAAACCAATTTTTCAGCCCTTTCTCCAGTGTTCTGGAGAAATGTCATATGCCATCTTCTGTTATGAATCTTAAGCAGAAGTAGTCCTTACTTGTATAGCTGTCTATAAGCCTACTGGAAGGTCTTAAAGGTAGAACTTGGCTGCAAAGAGGTAACCAGGAAATTTATCTTAAAGGGAGCAGGCACAGAAGGGACACTGTGTACCTAGCTTCTTTCCTCTGGGAGACTTGGGGCAGTGGCTGATGGAGATTTTAGGATACCTGAGGTATCCTTTCTCTATTACCCAAGCCACCCCCTTGGTACTACGCTACAGTCAGGAGATTACAACAAAACAAAATAAAAATAAAAACTACTTTAGTAATTATCTTAAAGAATAAGTATACAAAAATTTGCAGAAAGGGGATGACTTTTGGTACCTCTGTTCTTATGTACTGGGAAGGCAAAATTTAAAGAAATAAAATGCCATTTTACATTTCCAAAGGCTGTATCTACAGGCCTCAAATCTGTTTCACTGATAATCTCACTTGATTCTCACACAATTATACATTGTCAGGTAAACTGAAAGTACTAACTGGCCCTTTTGATTCCTAGTTAGTGCTCCTCAACTATGGCCCTTCAGTTAAGTAAAAACAGAGCCAGAGCTAAGAGGAAAGCAGATGTTGCTATGCCTCTGGATTCTAGTTGATCCTTAAAATGATACTGCAAATCTCTAACACACAAAGACTGTCACAATGGTTGCAGTATAACTAGAACATCTAGAACTTTGGTCCCATTGCTTCTCTGGAGAGGAATCTCAACCTCTATACTCTGCCTAAGTTTCTTCTGGCACCAAATATTGTGTGTTTATCACAAAAGGGACCAAAATTAAAAGATGTGGTCCAAGCAAAGGAAAAGCAATAAATTCTACTTCTATTTTTTCCTGATACCTCAATTAACCATGTAGTTTTTGATGTTGTAGTAAGTATAAAAAAGGGGAAATTTGTGGCATATTACTTTGAACAATTTAGGAAAGCAGATACATTCAGTAAGTTGGTCAATCACAGACCGATAATAAATCCTCTCAAATGTATTAGTTTCTTGAAAACAGATGAAACAAATAAAATAAAGCAAAGCATTATGGGAGTTACTATGAGCTAAGGCAGTGTAACACATCTTGTGATTTGTAAGATTTCAGATACAAAGAGAAAAATATCTCTGAGAATATAAAAGTAATTTTGTTTAAGTTACAGTTTAATGAATTTGAGTGGGAAAGTGTCTACTGGTTCATTTCATAGATTATCTCAAATTTTAAACTGATAATTTTTTTTTTTTTTTAAGAGACAGGGTTTCACTCTGTCATCCAGGCTGGAGAGCAGTGACATGATCACAACTCATGGGAACCTTGAACTCTTGGACCCAAGCCATCCTCTTACCTCAGCCTCCTGAGTAACTGGGACTATAGGCACATGCCACTATGCCCAACTAATGTTTTTATTTTTTGTAGAGATGGGGTCTTGCTATGTTGCCTAGGCTGGTCTCAAACTCATGGGCTTAAGAGATCTTCCTACCTCAGACTCCCAAAGTGCTGGAATTACAGACAGGAGTGAGCCACCACGATCAATCAGCCTTAAGCTGGTAACTTTTAAAGCATTTTTGTTCATAAGATAAGTGGCAGTATACTAAAGAAGTCATTAGGAAAATATTTAAGAGAGAAAAGAGAATTCCTGTAGAGGTCCTGTTTCCAGAAAAACATGAATTCAAAGAAAAGATTTAGACTCTCAGGCCTGAGGGCCTGGTGTGAATGCTGCCCTATGTGTTTTCCTCTTTCAACTGTGAAAGCTAATTCAGGAATAGAGAATCACAGAGAAAAGCGTAAGCACTTTGAACTTGGTACAGTGCTGCAATCTCTACTTCTAAGAGTGGGTGGCCAGAAATGACCCAGAGCATTATCTTTTTTAAACTCAAAGTGTCTTTTTAATCTTTTAACAATTTTGGAAGAATTTAATAATTTTCTCCCTTTTAACCTTGTAATAGCTTCAAGATAAGATGGGACTGCCAGAAAAAGTCTCACCTGGTTTTGATGATCATTATGCAGCATTTCCTCAGTACCCACTGGATTTTTTAAAAAGTAGTCTTTTACGAGGGTGCCAAAGTAAAAATAACCTACTATCAGTCACCAATTCTCAACCACACACCCTGGAACTTCAGGCCCTTCACAACCTGGCCTCAATGTAGCTTTTCACTGGTCTCTCATTACTCCTCTAACCTTACATTTGGGCCAAATTACTACTCATCCAACATTCTGCCCCGTACTGTTCTGTCTCCACTTTGCACTCTCCATCTGAAAAATTTCCTATCTAGAATCTTATCCTATCAAAATCTAATTCATACCTCAAGAATGAGCTCATTGTTTCCGGATCTAATTAAATATACTCTCCCCCTCCTTTGATTTCCAGAAGCATTTTGAATTCCTTGGGATATTTACCTGACTCTGCCTTATATCACTGGCATAATTCTTTCCAAATGCTCTAAACTCAAGACACTTTGAACCATGGACTTAAAAGAATATAAAGTTTTAGGTACATTCTGAAACTGGCACACATTCAGCCCATTCTCATACATAGTGAATTACATACCCTGTTAAATCCGACACAGGGAATGGTGAGGTGTCCAAACATTTTAGAAACACTTTTTAAACAATTAGAACTGTTTATACTTCCTTGTGTTTCCTCTCATTTTACCATTTTGATTTATTATCTTATGATAAAACAGGATGAGACTTCCTGGATATGTTCCTTACGTATGAATCCTAAAATATTATGAAAATAATTTTTTAAAAAAAATCCAGAGTGAAATGTCTTACTTTCTCATAAACAAGTAAAAGGATAAAGGGAACAGAAACAGAGACCACTTTTCTCTGAAAGAAGACTTAATTAATTTAAAAAATGGTTAAATGAGTGGGAAACATGAATACTGAATTAACTTACCTCCACACTTTGGGTTTGGGCAATTGCTGGCTGAACCCAAGTATCTAAGAAGATTCCCAGGAAGATCATAGGGAGTGTAGGAAATATTTCGGATCTTAATGGTCCGTGCAGCTAATTCCAGGAGAGTTGGAGGATCATAGGTTAAATCTCTAACAAAACGAACAACCAATGGATTTCCTCGTAAACTCAACTCTTCCAGATGAATAAGGTTGAGGATCTCTCGAGGCAGGTACGTCAGCAAGTTATTGTGAAGACTTAGGGAACGAAGTGAATGCAACCTAGAATAAATGCAGTATAAAAATCAATGGCGGCCGGGCGCAGTGGCTCAAGCCTGTAATCCCAGCACTTTGGGAGGCCGAGGCGGGTGGATCACGAGGTCAAGAGATCGAGACCATCCTGGTCAACATGGTGAAACCCCGTCTCTACTAAAAATACAAAAAATTAGCTGGGCATGGTGGCACGTGCCTGTAATCCCAGCTACTCAGGAGGCTGAGGCAGGAGAATTGCCTGAACCCAGGAGGCGGAGGTTGCGGTGAGCCGAGATCGCGCCATTGCACTCCAGCCTGGGTAACAAGAGTGAAACTCCGTCTCACTAAAAAAAAAAAAAAAAAAAAAAATCAATGGCAGTGAACAACATAACTATCAAAAACATTGACTATATGTTGTGTATACAGAACTTGATTTCCCCTTAAGAATGAGCAATTAAGATTAGGGTCAGTTGAAGTAAAATAAAAAGGTGCTAAAACTAGATCAAAGTGCAGATTTGTAGATGTCATGGAGGACTTCTGCCCCTGGAATCTTGGAGAATTTAGAATACTTAGAGAGTGTTCTGATGTGCTAACTCTCATAAAAGCTCGATTTGAAGATTTGTGGGTGGGCAGTGGGCATGCTTTTTCATTTAGATGTCTAAAAAAATGAAAGATTTCAAATGCAACAGAAATTAAGATCCTTCGGATTATAAAGCCTAATTAGGATAGAAATGTTTCATATCAAATATAAATTCACTAAAAGTACCATAAAACCTACAGAAATATATGCTAAATAATACTCAATTCTTTGATTACAGAAAATAGACGTATTTTTGAGAATAAACCAGAGTATTTAAAAGTAAAAACAACCCAGCTCACAGCAAACCTCAGAACTATAATTATCATATATCATTTACTTTGAGAATATCTAATTCTTTTCTACATGTAAAACATGTGAGAGAATCCAAGACAATAATTACTAAGCATGGATGTCTGTTTATATTCAAATGCCTGGAACTACTCACTGTGAAAGTTGAGGAGGTACACTTTGGATTTTGTTGTCACATAACACCAAGTAATTTAGAGAAGGCAGATTTGCTAATTCTGGTGGGATTTCTTTAATGAAATTTCCTCCAAGATATAAACACTCTAACCTGCAAAAACAAAGAAAACCAAAAAGTAAATAAATAAAAGCTGAAAAAGATATACCATTGTTTCTACTACAATAAACACATTTCATCTACTCATTCAGCAAATGTTTTACTTAAGATTTGCTATCCAGTCTCTAGATAAATAATGCAATTTTCAGGGAGCTTATATTATAGCTAAGCAGACAAGACAGATCGATGTTAGATAATATTAAAATAAAACACAAAACAATGCCAAAAATAGGCATTACAATACCAAAATAAGAGAGACAAACCATAAATGATATTAGGAGTTGAATGAAAAGGAATCTAAAAGTTTTAAAAGGCCACAGTAGTTCTGAATGGAAAAGGCTTCCCCAAAGGGTTGTGACTTTAGCTGGGCTATGGATTTAGTCCATTTAGATGGGAAGAAAGAGTACACTTCAGGTTGGAGGAGAGGGCTTATAAGGCACAATGAGTATACCTTTTAATGGAAGAGAATTCATCTTGAGGAATCAAAGATAGGCTTGCAGAGAGACCAGATTATAACAACCCTGAATTCCATGGTAGTATGCTTGGATTTGATGCACTGACAGGCAATGGGAAAACCACTAACTTGTTTTTGAATACACCGTAAAACTAGGAAGTCTCTACATTTCTTCCTTGCTCTTATTATAGCAAATATATTCTTTAGAGGCTGTGTCAATTGTCCACTACCATAAAATCAAAGTTCCAGGTAAGTATACTGTTTTCTAACAATAGGTTAACATTTTAGACATGACATGTATTGCACCAAAATAGAAAAAAATAGTACTATTTAGTGATTACTGTTGAAAGGCTTCCTCTAAAAGATTTTTGCAAGGGTAGCAGGATCAGTTCTTACAATATATATATAAATAAATAAAATGTATACAAACACATACAGACTTTCCCCCTAATACTGTATTACTTTTATCTTCCTGTTAAATCTGCTAACTTAGTAGAACTATTGTTCTTTCAAAACACCTTTAAATGTGGGAGAAAACAGTCTACTAAAGTGTTATTCAAACTTCCATGGTAAGAATTCCCTATGATAGTTTTAAGGCTATGAAGTCCAGGGTCCATCCAGATACGCTAAATCAGTCTTCCTCTTGGATTGCCTGTGAAGTGGTAGATTTTAAAGTATAAGATGTAATTTTAACAGATAAAGCCAAGTTACGTTTTAGAGCCATGGCTGTTTACAAATCCATAATTAGAATTTAAGAGCACTCCTTAACCTTCAACTTTGCCATCACCTAATATTATCACCACCGTTTATTTCATTACTATTTGATGGCATAAAAAATGGTACCATTCTGGTTTTTTTTTTAAATCTGCAAATCTGTAGGTCACTTTTAGTGAAGTTTAGCATCCTTTTATGGTCTTAGACATTTGTATATCTTCAGAGAATTACCTGCTCATATCATTTACCTATTTTTCTCATGAATCATGCAGCTTTATCTCATTAATTTGTTGGGAGCTCTGCTGTTGTTAAATATATATATTCTGCATAACTTTGCTCATTTGTGGCCTTGAGCATGGTCTATTTTTGTTCAGGTATTATATGTACAAAAAGAACATATAGCTATTATGACTGAGCTCATTAACTGAGCACTTTTTTAAAAAATAGTTTCTTTGATTATTTTGCCTTCTTGCCTTGGTGGTTTGTCTCCTACTATGAACATGATTTTCCTTCTTTCCTTCAGAGTTCTGTCAATCGTTGCTCTCTTTCCCATTAACATATAGAAGTTATATTGCAGATACATTCAAACTCATGACTGCTAAGAACTTGCTAAAGTGTGCCTTAATTTATATGAAGCATTTCTATTTGTTCTCTTTCTTTCTCTCTCTCTCTCTCTCTCTCTCTCTTTCTTTCTTTTTCTAGACAGAGTCTGTCACCCAGGCAGGAGTGCACTGCCATGATCTCGGCTCACTGCAACCTCCGCCTCCCAAGTTCAAGTGATTCTTCTGCCTCAGCTTCCCAAGTAGCTGGGATTACAGGTGCCCACCATCATGCCCAGCTGATTTTTGTATTTTTGGTAGAGATGGGGTTTTACCATGTTGGCCAGGCTGGTCTCAAACTCCTGACCTTAGGTGACCTGTCCGCCTCGGCCTCCCAAAGTGATGGGATTACAGGCATGAGCAATTGTGCCCGACCTCTATTTGTTCTTTTAAATCTATTTTGCCCTGAAATCTATGTCTTCTGATTATCAATAGTGCTTACCAGTTTTATTTTTGTTGGTATTTATTTCATTCAACCTCAGCTCTACAAGTTATCAGTATAAAAATTTGGACCAGTTAATCTTGCAGTTTCTTCCTTTTAAAAATGGAATATTATCTGTCAATATAAAATGGTTAGTTAACAAATATGAACCAATACCCACAATGTGCCAGGCACCATTCTAGGGAATAGAGTGTAAGGCACCATTCTAGGGAATAGAGTGTAAGTAAGTTCAAGTTCTTAACCTGAATAAGCTTTATGTTTTAGTGAGAGAGACAGACAATAAATCAGTAACATGTCTATTATGGCTGATAGTTTTAAGTGTCACAAAAAAGGGGGAGCAATTGGATAGTGATGGAAGTGACACTCTAGAGACGGTGGTAAGTTTCTCTTAGGAGATGACATCTGAACAGAGATCTAAATGAAATGACAGTACAAACCCCAGCAACGGAAAAGTGACTGGTGTGCTGTAAAACAGCAACACAGCCAGTGTGAGTAGATGAGTAGCTCAGAGTGACTGAGGTGGAACTGTGGTCATCAAAGAGATGAGAGAGGTAGCCTGGGAAGGCCACATCACATAATGCCCTTTTGGCCTCTGTAAGAGCATTTTGAAAAAGAGTTCTGAACAAAGGCTAGTCGTTTAACTTGACTTACTCTTTAGAAGGATCATTTTGGCTACTGAGCGGCAAACAGCTGGAGAAGTGGTTAGGGGAGCGCTGTAGGCAGGAGTAGAAGGAGGAAAAGCAGGTTGGAGCCTAGTCCAGTACATCAGATGAGAAATGACAGATTTGCCTGGTACATCATTTTCTATCCCTTTAAACTTATTGATGTATTTTTATTTTAAGCGTAGCTCTTTATAAATGGAGCCTAACTTGATGATTGATATGTTCAGACTTGTGTTTTCTATTATCATGGTGTATCTCCATATATTTTTTTCCCTTCAGTTCTGTTTCTTATTGTGCTCCTCAAGTTTCTTTTTGTCCTATTCCCTCTACTTCTATTATTTTGAACTGTATATGCTATTTCTATTTTGCTAGGAGTTACCCCCTTCAATTTGCTTTGTATTCTCTCTCACTCTCAAACACATACCCATGCTCTTTTCTGTCCTGCTGTCATCTTCTAGAATTAGTTCTACATTGATTTTCTACCAATTTATTTCCAATCAGTAATTAATTCAGATTTATCAATATGTTTTACCAATTTTCTTTATCACTTTTTTTGGAGGCTTGTTATTTCTTTTAAGGTTCATTTTTCTTGGAGCACATCCTGTAAAAGTTCTTTTGGCAAGAACTCACAGTTGTTAATCTTTGAGTCCTTTGCCTCTGGTGTTTTAATTTTTTCCCCTCACTCTTGAGTAATGGTTTAGCTGGGCATAAAATTCTAGGTTGACAGTTACTTTTCCTTGGCACTATGAAGATGCTCCTCCATTATCTTATTACAGCCAATATTACTATTGTTCCTTTGTAGGTAATCTGTTGTTTTTTTCTTTTCTCAACAGGAGTAAAGATTTTTTCTTATTCATCTTCAATGTTCTAAAGTTTTACTATGACATGTTAAGATATCAGTTTAGAGAGCTCCCTTTCTTTAATTGTGGGAAATTTCAGCCACTATTACTTTATACATTGTCTTTGTTTCGGTGTCTTTCTAGAATTGTTCTTAGCAGTTTTAACTTCAGGATCTATACTCTATGCCTTAGTATTTCTTTCATACTTTTTATTTCTTTATCTCTTCGAGCTGAATTCCAGGAAAATAACTCAGTAAAATCTTTCAGCTCATGGATCCATTCTTCAGCTGTCTGTCTACCATTCAGATCAGTTAGTTTATAATTATATTTTTTCATTTATAGAAGTTCCAATTGGGGTTTTCATAACTGTCAGTTTAAAAACTCCCTATTATTGCTTAACTGATGAAGTTCCTTCCTTTACCTCCCTGAAATTAGGGACGGTACTTAAAATCCTTTACAGATTGCCTTATTACAGATATTTTCTCAAATATAATCCCATTTTTCTGTCTTTCATAATATCAGTCTTCCTTGATGTGTGGTTATTCAAAATGCCAACTTGAATCTAACATTTTGTCTTTTTAAAAAATACATTAAAAAGGTACAGTGGCTCACGCCTATAATCCCAGCACTTTGGGAAGCCGAGGCAGGCATGACTTGTAGTCAAGAGTTAGAGACCAGCCTGGCTAACTGGTAAAACCCTGTCTCTACTAAACAACAACAACAACAACAAAAATTAGCCAGGCAAGGTGGCGGGCACCTATAATCTCAGCTACTCGGGAGGCTGAGGTAGGAGAGTCACTTGAACCAGAGAGGTGGAGGTTGCAGTAAGCCAAGGTCACATCACTGCACTCCAGCCTGGGTGACAAAGTGAGACTGTGTCTCAAAAAAACATAAAAATATATATATATGTTAATGACACTTTTAAAAAACGTATTTCTGATTGTGTAAAGCTTTTCAAAATTCCATTTCCCTCTTTAGACTTAAAATGTTTAGAAAAGTAAGCTGATAGCTTTAAATTTACGTTACTTTCTTTCTCTTTCAAAGGTTATCTTGCAGCAAAAATCAACTGTCTGATTACAAAATCGAATTCTCCTACTGCAAGTGCTTAAGCACTGGTGAAAAAAGTTCCTAGGCAGGGTTTTAAAAATTCTACCAAGTATGGCATAAATTACTACCCAGTTACTCAGAAATCCCTATTTTTCAATGATGACAGCTACCTGAATAGAAGAGAACAGAATAGAATATTTGGAGTTCAAATAACAAAACTACTAGGTTCCTGGAAAA